AAAAAAACAAAAACAAAAAAGAAAAAAAATACCAAACATGAAGTGCTTTGCGCGAAATTTATCAGTGATAAAAAAATTGAATATCAGGCGGAAACTCTTCGACAAGGTGAAACTTTTGCGCATCCTATTGTTTGACCCTGAATCCGTGGATCCACGTGCTGCGTGAAATCGTGCCTTCACGCACAACACTCGACGACCGACGCTTGTACGCCGTTCTCGCTTCTTTTATCTTTACTTATTGGTCGATTGGTTCGTAAAATGATTTATTCCACGGCCATGTCTTTTCAAAAATACCTTCCATCACAAATTCTCATAACGACGAGCGAACAAGAACGAGAAAATCACAATTGATTCACGCTAGCCTTAAACAAGTAGTATAATCTCAGCAATCTTCCTTTTTTCAAATAAAATTTCAAATAAAACTTCAAATTCTAAAAATCATTATTCCAGATTGCTGCTTATTTAAAATATCTTGTCGATTCATTAAAAGTGAAATATTCGAACATCGGACTATCACAACTAGTTATCGTATTTATCGTCCAATTATAAATAAGATGTAAAAATTCTAAATTAACATGTAAAAATTCTAAAAGAGGAAAAAAAAAGAAACGAACGATTTATTCGTAGCGGAGCAAAATTATATAACGTATTATGCGCATCCTGTGTCACAGCACACAGCGTGATCGTTCTGCTTTAACTTCATCACACAGGATACGCAACGCAATACACGCGTCGCTCTCTCTTTCACTCGATCTGTTTTCTTCATCTCACAGCTAGATAGCTTTTATCAGTCGTTATTCGAACTTTATCGATACCAATCTCCGGCGATTCGACTCGCACTTCGGAAATCACAAATATTTTTTTCATTTTCGACGAAAGGTGGACGCGAGGTTAATTCGCAAAAACAGTTTGCAATGCGCTGTTGTCTCGTTCCGCGAAACACCAAGAGATCGAGTAAACTGATAATCGTGTTTGGATGAGTCACTGATAGCCGAAGAACGATAGTAACTCGTTGAAATTAATGAATTCTTCGCGCGTTCATCGTTTCGAAGCCTGACATAATCAGCCAGATAAATTTTTACAAGCTCTTGACTATCTCTGTCTTCTACAAATATCGTTCAATAATCGGGTTTTCTACCGTTGCGTTGTAAATAAAAAACTTACATTCCAAATCGATACGTACGATCGATTTCACATAAAACAGTGGACGTCACGATACAACTGAGACAATTCAGGACACAGTGATAGAAGCAAGGTCACGAATGTAAATCAAAAAGATGCATCCGTGGAAAAAGCTAAATTAAAGACAGTCGACAATTCAAATTTATTTATTATTTGTTTAACGAAGGCTGTAGCTCCGTTAACTTAGGTGTATATATTAATTATATTATTTACTGTTACAATTGATCATTGAAAGTAAAATCGTGACTCTAAAACAAAATTTACGTTACGTTAATATAGGGCGAATATCCATGTAATTTAAAACAACAAAAATGATCAATTGTTACCTGCTCTTCGAATTCATCTTTTATTATCTTCTTTTCTTACTCTTTATAGCTACGAAATCTTTACAAACCATATATATATACACATATATGTATGCCAGTACTCACTTACATAATATACCACGGTATAATATAACCGTTTAACCCGTAACCCTCGAAATTCTTTCGTTACTTTCGACGATTCATCATCGTGAAACGTCAAAGTAATTTAGGGAAAAATATGTGTCAAAATTAGAGGAAAATTACTTAAATCGATAGCACGACGGTAGGCATTGTACACAGTTGGGTGCTGCCGGATCACCGGCCATAACCGAGCAACTCCTGCCACGTGCAGGAAACCGGTTTATGCTGTTATTTTGTGCGACTGAACACTGCCCTTTAAATTTTCTGTTTAGACAAGAAATCTGTCGAAATCTCGCGGCAACGAATTCTCGGTACGTTCCATTCCTACCTAACGTCTAATCAATCATCGTTTCGATCAATTTTCGATTAAAATCTCCAAATTTAAAATGTCAAAATTTCTTCCTTCCAGCAACTTTTTACAAAATTTCGTAAAACCGTTGAAATTCGAATTTCCCATACCCGTCGTGTGAAAACGAACTCTACATCGATGAGAATCAAGTTTTCGATTTGCCAATTCGATCTATTACGCGAATGATGCAACCACGATCACGATTCACGCAGCGGCAAAGTCGTTACACCTGAATAGTCGAAATGTGAAATTACAATACGTAAGGGTAATGTTTCTAATTAATAATTGGCCAGCTCGTACTCGACTTGTTAAGTTAATAGTACTAAGTTAAAATGAGATTCGTATGTGTGTAAGACAAAGGTGAAACGACCAGGTAAACAATCGACCGTATAACCTTATGTAATAATAATACGGCTAATAAACTTACGGCGCAATATCGTGCCGATTATACGGGCAACAAGTTCACGCGGTGTCGGCCGATTGAAAACAAACCTGGATAGTCAACACAAGTCAGCACGTAGAGAGTAAAAATTCTAAACGCTTGCATGCGTGTGTGTTACGTGCCGTTTCGACTACCACACAGAGCCTCTGAGCAACGTTTCCCTCCGTCCCTTTTCGTTTCTCTCCATCGCGCTCTGTCCTCTCTGTCTTCTCTTCTCATATTTTCATCCTACCATGCACACTCTCGCGCACTCGAAACGATTGAATTCGTATTCTGTCGTATTCCGTCGTATTCCGTCTCAGTTCCGTCTCACGATTCTTTTTCTATCGTCGCGTGATGTTATACGTGGCCATTGTGCGCGCGCACCTCATCCTAAAACAACGCACGCCGCGACCGGCCGCCAATATTTCCCGCACCCTCGCGTTATCTGGCTCCGATCCCTTGTAACATGGATATAAATGATGCAACATTGTAAACATCTCGTGGCATACAATCTGACCATTCAGCCGGTAAACGAGTCTTGCGCCCCGTGCTTTTGGTAAAAAATATCTATGATAAATATTACGTACGAAATACGGCGTTATTACAGGCAGGTCGATTCCAAACATACGAGAGCGATCAGTGATTCTCATGCGCTCGTAAGTCCTTGCCATTGAAGGAAATCGAAAGGCGAGAAACGGCGTTGAACAGTGAGAAAGAGAAAGAAGGAAATACATCGAACGTTGAATTTTCCTGTAATCGAGTTTCAGTGTCATATTCGTCAATCGTCGCGTTCGTTGTTCTTCTTACGTTCGGATCTCTCCAATCTTCCAGCTTTCCGAGTGAAATTCTAGCTCTCCGAGTGAAGTTTTTTCTTCTTTGGACAACCGTCGAAAATCGAAATACTAGTGGTTAAAAAGAAAAAAAAACAAAAAGAGCGGTGACGAACCTACCGAAGATACAGCTTGTAAAAACACGCAAAACTTGCGTCATCCAATTCGATAATTACGTGGCTGCAGTTGGAAGCGTTCGAGAGCCCCTGGCTAGAAGCTACGTGACGCGGCGCTGTTTCAGAGGGCGTCGTCAAAGTCGCCCGATCCTACGTAGAAGCAAGCAATGGCGCGGTAGGCGGGAGGGTAATGGGAGCTGCGAACCCGTGGTGGGGACGGAGAACTCGTCGATGTCGGGACGACAACAGTAAGGTCGGCGAGAGGAGGGGCTGTTACGCTGTTAGTAAGCGGAGCGGCCATCTTGCGAACTTCAGTCGGAAACCAACTGCCGAGCAGTGAGGGAAGGTGAACGAAAAGAGACTCGATGTGTTAGCTGAAGGATTTTTTAATGCGCTTCCGAGCCGGGCTACCGCTACGTGCGAAAGGCTGTGCGACACCGACAACGGAGCAGCGACCATCCGTGGATTTTCGCGTACGGAGGCACTCGAGTTTCTTCTTCGGCGAGAAGTCTCGGGCGAGGAGCGAAGAAATCGGGGGAACAGAAGTAGCCCGTGTTTCGACGCTGGGAAAAAGGTCGGGAAGGGATCGGAGATCAGCGCAAGAGCTTCTTCGATTTCTGCGAGGAAGGCTCGTCTGCTCGTAACGTTTTATCGGTTGGAAGGCAGTAGGCAGGCAAGACCAAAAAGTATCATTTGCTCGTTGGTTTGGAACGGCGAGTAAAGGAGGAGAGCAACCAGAAAGAGAGAGGGAGAGAGAGAAAGAAAGAGACAGAGCGTAGAGAAGTGGAAAAAGTGGAAGAGAAACAACAAGCGGAAGAAATAACAGAGGAAATGAAAAATGCGCAGTGTTTAAGTCTGTGATAGTATTTATTCAAACGATTCAGCTGCGACGCGTATCATCTCTACACCACAGTAGTAGCATCGTTTGTCCTGTAAATCGCAAGAGCTAGAAAAACAGAGGAATAAGTAGCCTTTATATATTTATTTATATCTGTGATACCGACGCTGATATACATCGAATTATCCCCTGAGATAGAAACATCGAGAGAGCGTACGCGAGAGAGAGAGAAAGAGAGCGAGAGAGCGTAAAAAAGAGGTAGGAGGGACTAGGACGTCGGTAAAGGAAAAAGAGAGGATCGAAGAACGCAAACGTACAGTGATTTGGAAAATTGAATAGTGGGAAAAAAGATTATATCGGTAACTTAGTGGATATAGATGTTTTTGTATATACGACTGACTCTTTTTTATAATTATTGATAGCGGGTTACTCTCAGGAGGGAGAGAGAGAGAGAAAGAGAAAGAAAATTTCATTGCTCGTTCGTCGAACGAGTAAGAAAGCACACACTCGAAGAAGAAGGAAAGGAAAAAACAGGGCAAAACAAGGTTTTGTTTCAGACGAGAACTTCATTTTTCTTTTTTACCCTTCTTTGGGCGTTAAACGATTGAAGTTAAGTGGCACTGTCACCAACGAAAATGGTGGAGAAAATCTTGGAAGAACGAGAAGACGGCTGTCAGGAGGTCGCAAGAGGTACGAAAAGCTTTCCCTATTCAATATTAATCGTATTCATCTCGAAAGTCGTGCGAACGCGAAGACGTGACATACCGAAATAATAACGAGGCCATTTTAACCTCGCCGGTATTGTCACGAACCAATCAAAACAATGCGATGGGTGTTTGCTTACGTTTCTTTTTCTCATCGATACTTTTTGCCGCGATGTTGTTTTCGTTTCGTTTCGAGAGATTCGTCATTGATCGAAAGAGGAAAAGAGAAAAACGAATGTCGTCCCGATCGTCAATTCTAATTTGATTCGCTAGAAAAAAAGAAAGAAAGAAAAAGAGAATCCGTAAAATCAATAATCGCGCAAGGTGATGGAAATTTTCAAGATCAATCATCGAAGAGAGAAACACACGGCTCGTGGAGCAATCGAAGTATCGAAGTCGGTTGACGGAAGAACTTTCTCGAAGCCGGCGCGCGCGTTCCCAGCGTTCTTCGTTTCGAGTTTTCTATTCCAGAACAAACTGCATTTGAAATTCGCTTAATCGTGAATAGTTAGCAATAAAATCTGTATACGTGTAACATTTCACAAAATAATTAAATTACGATCGTACAATTCTAACGTTAACGGTTGAAATTAACGTCTTTGAAATTGGTATATAAATATTTGTAATGATCGAATCGAAGCATAATTTCACATTATTCTGCTTAATTCGCGATAAATATAATTTCATTTATCGTTATCAAAGTCTTCCGAAACTGTGTATTGTTCCTAACATGTTATTATGCCGAAGATAATTTCACGTAATAGATAGTGCGTTTTCGTCATATTCTTCTTTCCCTTCTTTTTTTTTTCACGTATTCTCTGAAAGTATCGATTGGAAAATTTAACAATGCACACACCCTTAATAATTGCGCCAAGTTATTTTTTTTTTATTCCTTCGCTTTGACGCATGCAGCAGATTATTTTTAGCATTTCGTTTGCCGCGTGTATTTTGTTCACACTTTTGATATCTTCGGTAACCTGCCTCGATATTTCGTTGCACAATTGTTAAATTGCGCGTATCGAATAAATTGCGTCTATTTTTGGAATATTGGAAGGGACGAATGGGAAACGAAGGTGTAATGCGTGGCAAGAAAGGTACAGCGAGAAGTGCACAAAATAATATCGTAAAAGAAAAGGAAATACTGTCGAGTCAAACATATATATATATATGTATCATTGAATTATTTTTGAGGACCGAAGTGGGTTAGTCGGTTCGCGTTCGAGTTGGGTGGCAAATCGCAAAGGGTGATGTCGGTAAGGGTAACCCAAACAAAGAATGGATGGAAAGAGGAGAATAGAAGGGATCCTGGCGCGCATGTCGAATCCGTGTTGGTTTACCCTTCGTTTTAAAGAGAATGGCTCCAATATTTTGTATATCCCATCTACCGAAGCGAAATCACAAATCATCACAAACTTTGTAAAGTAAACAAAATTATCAACCTTCCAACGAATAATCCGACACGGTGTAATTAATCACTTCGCGAAAAGGTACGTAACATATTGCTCTCTAACCGAAAAAAAAAAAAAAAAAAAAATCATTTGTTGCTACATCGATGGAAAATCAGGTTTCGTTGTCTTGTATCTTTAATTTTACTTTGGAATGCGTTGACGTTGGAATAAATTGAGAGCTCGGTGTATGTATGTGCATACACGTTACCAAGCGTTGAACAACATTAAACAAACAGAAATAGAATTTGAGAATAAAACTACCTTGTAAGAAATTTTTATATATTCTTTTTTTATATACGTATATTTGTTGCTTTATGTCACATCTATTTGTTGTATTTCTACCGTATTTTGGATCGGCCAATATCGCTGGTTCTGCGGATGCAGCAACATTGTCGTACGTGTATATCTCGCGTAAGATGGCGGCGTTCCTTTTCTGTGCCAGTCATTGAACTCTAAGTTCTTGGTACTTGGTTGTGTTTCTTCTTGCGCGTTATATCGCTGATATTTGCCTAACCAAAAAGACACACGTATTTATTTCTGAACAAAATTATGTAATTATACAATTCAGTATGAATGGCTACAGCATAATTTAAACAGCATTATCTGACGAACTATATCGATGCTAACTGAACTTTCAACATGTTGAAATTTGTTATTACTTTCTCGTCAACAAAGTTTGTATTTATGGAGTTAGAGTTACATAAGAGCGATAATTTTTATTTGTTTGTCCTTCGAGAGCGTCTTCCTTCGTTTCAAGTTTAGATCTCTTTCCAGCGATAAACATAATTACCGTTGATGAGAAATGATTGAAATGCTTATAAGTCTGTTAGTTGGTTCAAGTCGTGAATCGATGACTAAATCATCCGATGATTGAACATCGTAACTGAAACATGCTCTTTGTCAGTCTACTAACAATAATCAAATACACGTAGTGTTTTTCGACGACCTACGCATTGTCCCGAAGAAACATTTATGAAATGTATATGTGACAATCTAATTTCATCGAACAACTTTATGCGTCCGCTCGACTCGATTGTTGCTTCAATTTTTATTTTTCTAGCGCGATAACAGCGTGAAATAGTTTTGATTCTCGTTGATCCATCCACGTCCAAATTACATGGGAACATAATTATTTAAAACTAGCTTCGCTCTCCAGAGCATCTGTTCTTCGCAAAATTTTCCGTGGTTTCGCTGACGTGTTGTATCGTTCATGTGACGACAGTCTCGACAGAGACGATGAATTTATAATTTCCTTCGAGTGAGTTTATGTCAATGGATAGAAGCCACTCGACCGTGGCAAAACGTATGTGTGCATTTGTACATTCAGTTACAAGAATGACTCAAGCACGTAATCGTTCACGTTTGATACAGTAAATATTATTAACGGGTATAGAAAATGAACGATGAGTAATGTCCTTGCGTTCGCAATCGGACAATAAATGGATAGATAAATAAATGGACGCGCAAAAATAAACGATGCTCGTTATGCGTTTGATTAAAGCGTTAATGAACGAGAGAATATGTATAAATACGTGTCCCCTTCGTTGGTTGATTCTAGAAGAATTCTCTTTATGGATAAATAATCGTTGCGTAAGGCTCGAAGCAAGTTTTACGATCTCGCACCGGGTACGAACGATGCGACCGACGTCGGCTCTGTTTTCGTACCGGTAATGTTGCGTCAACGAACGTGACTGTATCAGTTTTCTCGTGACGGTATCAATAAAGGAGTATCTAGTCTCATTGCGGGCACGAAACGAAACGAACGCACGAAAAGAAACGAGAAATCTGTATTCATTGTAATGGATACTTTGCAGAGACCAATTGTTGCAGTTGTGCAATTAAAAATTGTGAACCTACTAAATCGTACAATATTGCCAGTATCGGTACACGAGATCGGCAGCAACAAAAGCCGGTTGTTTGTGTCGAGTCTAATATGTACATAATTACCGCTCACTACTGCTACATTTCGCGACTACCATAACTGCAGATATAAGATGCTTCTTTTGCTAGTTCTGTCAGAATTTATATTCGAAACGTATTCGAAAGATAAAAAAAAAAAGAAAAACAGATGTTGTAGGTACGACTCTAATAATAGAGAATAATGAACGAAGAAGAGGAGTACTCTCAGTACGATTTCGATGATATCGAGCCGTTCGTGCACGCACGTATCAACGTTTGATCGCGTGCAATTTTAATCGAGCGTACGTGTTTAATTTTCTTTTTTCTTTTTCGTGTTTTGTTTCAGAAGATGCAAATTGCAGGGAGACTGTGAACACGGGAGAATCAATGAGCGCCGTGCAAGCTCGACAGGAGGAAGCTAGACGCAAAAGGCGCAAGAAGAAACGTTCCGGATCGTCTTTGATGTCTTCTTGTTTCCAAGGTAAAATTTCGTCTACGAAAAGATACGTGTTACGCCGTGGGAATTGATACGTTTGTAGGCTCATCGTAGGAAAACAATCGGAAAAGATCATCAAGAGAGGTAGAATCGGTAAATAACAAATAGTTTCACTTGATTGACCCAACACACGCTCGGTGTTGGTAATCTCTCGTGCTACCTTTGTACGAGTTCAGAATCGCTGTGAAATTTAGATGAAACTGGTCTGTTGATCGATTATTCGAGCTAGTTCCATTTTTCTTACTAGTGTGACAAAGTTATAAAAAGTGATGGTTAGAGAGTTGCAACGTGCAATTGTTTATTGTTAAAATTTTTAAAACGACCAGTTCAGAATCGCCGTGAAATATAGATGAAACTGGTCTGTTGATCGATTATTCGAGCTAGTTCCATTTTTCTTACTAGTGTGACAAAGTTATAAAAAGTGATGGTTAGAGAGTTGCAACGTGCAATTGTTTATTGTTAAAATTTTTAAAACGACCAGTTCAGAATCGCCGTGAAATATAGATGAAACTGGTCTGTTGATCGATTATTCGAGCTAGTTCCATTTTTCTTACTAGTGTGACAAAGTTATAAAAAGTGATGGTTAGAGAGTTGCAACGTGCAATTGTTTATTGTTAAAATTTTTAAAACGACCAGTTCAGAATCGCCGTGAAATTTAGATGAAACTGGTCTGTTGATCGATTATTCGAGTTAACTCCATTTTTCTTACTAGTGTGACAAAGTTATAAAAAGTAATGGTTAGAGAGTTGCAACGAGTAATTTATTGTTAAAATTTTTAAACCGACGATCTAGCGAAAAATATACATTTTCAGTTTATGTATCGTGTTCTCTAGTATAAGCATGTAGAATCCATACCTGTATCTATATCTATCTATATCTATATATATATATATATGGATATATGTTTACAAGCATACGTATATATTTTTCATTTGAAAAATAATTAACCGAGTTGATTAGTTGAGATTGTTACGTCACACTACCAACAGGATCGATCTGTACAGCGCAGTAGAGTTTGTGTTCGAGAAGCTTCCATTACTGGTACTGCTGGTAGTAGCTACCCGTACACATTCAAATCTGGGCCACGGGTTGACTCGTCGATATGTTCCCCCAGCTCCATCGCCAACTTCTTCAGATTTCTATCTTTTCCTCCCCTCGTCTTTTTTGCCTTTTCTTCTCCGTATCTTTGCAAACGCAACGAGCGTTTTTCAAAAAAACATTGAAAAATTCGACAGATATTCTTAACTTTAGTAAATATTTTTTTTTCTCGATATTTTCAGGGGTTTCGTAATTATTTTAAACGGTCCTCTTTTTCATTGACATTTACATATATTTACATACAGATCAAATCTGCACAAACGGCAATCACGTGTGCTTTAACGTACACTCGTTAACATTTTTAAAGCGCATTTTCAAACTCTTGCAAAGTGTAATCTTTTTTTTTTTTTTTTTTTTTTTTTTTTTTAAGGACATTGTCAATTGTTTTTTTACGTCGATACAAAACTAATTAGCAAGAAAATAGAAATATCGTGTAAACGTATACAGATTATATGTGTATGTTGCGATAATGAAAACTTAACTGAAAGTGCGAGATTATGCATCACGACGAATTAAAGACATTACATGTATTCGTAAATATGTGTAGTACGAGAGTACGTGCGTATGTGCATGTGTACAATAGAATCGACGATGCAATTTAACATAGGGAAAGAGAAAAGGAAAGAGAAAAAGAGAGAGTGAGAGAGAGAGAGAGCGACAGTGGAGATGTTGGAGGCATGAAAATGTATTATCAGCTTCTGGTTGCTAGGTATTCGTCAGCGGTGTTGCCAAGCAGAGAATCGTATCTTTGGCGTGAGGCAAATAGGTGGGAGCTAGGGGAAGGAGAGCAAACCCGTGGTTGTTGGTTGGAGAGCAGAAAAGGGAAGGTAAAAAGAGAGTTGATAGCAGCTCGCGATACATAGTTGTAACGTTAAAACTAGGGAGCGAACAAACGAAGGAGCAGCCGTGTATGTAACTGTATAGAATGGAACGGAAGTATTGTATCGTATTGTTAGGGAGAAGCGAGCAGGAGGAGAAGGAGGGAGGTGATGATGGTGGACGGCGCTAGGATCAAGCAGGGCAACAGCGGTGAAGAACAGGTTGAAAATTTTCGGTCAGGACAAACAGAGAGAAAAAAATATGTTGGTTGTACACGCAGGAAGTACCTAATGATACTAATGATACTTTTTGTTTTTTTTTTTTTTTTTTTTTTATCGGTCGATTACTCTGTTCTAGTTTAAAACATTGCTGCACACAGACGCAACTCGAATATGAACGGCTTTTTTTTTTTAGAATCGTCGTATTGCGTATTGTAAAATGTCACTCGCACGAAAGAATAAATCAAGGGGAATAGACGCAATACCAGTTCTATGAAACGATCCAAAAATTTCGGAACTAATATACGCCCCGGAACCATAGGTATTTTCTATAGATATTTTTCGAAAGTTGTGCTGATTTTTACAGAACGGACAAAGCTTACACTGTGGTGTGACGACTGCGATAATAAAGAATGTACTTACTTGCTACGAAACTCGGATCGTTTTGGCGTACGTGACGCGATGCGATTATTTTTGGACAATCTCTCTCTCTCCTCTCCCTGAACCTCCCTTTCTTCGTCATTCCCTGTGTCCTCTTTTTTCGCCTCTTTCTTTTCCATCTGTCCTCGCCGCTGTGTACATTCACATTTCTATGTCCCTTTCTCGCAGAATCATTTGTTTACTTATTCGTTTATCGTTTTGCGTTATTACTGCAGTTACTCAACCGTGCAATTTCGTGTTTGTTTCAGAACTGTATAGATTGACTGGCGAAGTTCTTGGCGAAGGTGCTTACGCCTCGGTTCAAACCTGTAGATCACTCTACACCGATCTAGAGTATGCTGTAAAAATAATCGACAAAATCCCCGGTCACGCACGGGCACGTGTTTTCAAAGAAGTCGAAACGTTTCATCATTGTCAGGGTCATCCGAACATCATCCAGTTAATCGAGTTTTTCGAGGACGAGGAGAAGTTTTATCTGGTATTCGAGAAAGTAAATGGTGGTCAACTGTTGAGTCGGATACAAGAAAGAATTCACTTCAGCGAGCGAGAAGCCAGTCAGATAATCCTAGAGATTGCAAGCGCGTTGAATTTCCTACACAAAAAAGGTACGACTATTTCTATTGGTTATTTCATTCTACAATGAAATGCACACTCACCAATATACGCGGTGTGTGGTGACTGTGGTATTCAGAAAAATCTCTCTTTACAAGAAATTTTCTTAACGAATACAGTTTTTATCGACATGCGAATGTGTATCCTCTTGACGAATACAATTTTTGTTTTTCTTGTTTCATTAGGCATCGCCCATCGAGATCTGAAACCCGAAAATATCCTATGCGTGTACCCGGACAAGCTAACACCGATCAAATTGTGCGACTTCGATCTTGGTTCGGGCATCAAGTTCAACAACTCGTTGTCAAGTCCTGTAGCCACGCCGCAACTTTTGACGCCAGTCGGCAGCGCTGATTTCATGGCTCCGGAAGTTGTAGAAGCTTTCATCGGGGAGGCAAATTATTACGACAAGCGTTGCGATCTGTGGAGCCTCGGCGTAATTATGTACATTCTCCTCTGTGGTTATCCACCTTTCTACGGGAATTGCGGTTCCGACTGCGGTTGGGAGAGAGGAGAGAATTGTCAGGCTTGCCAAGAGCTTCTGTTTACCAGTATTCAAGAGGGCAGGTACGAATTTCCGGACAACGAATGGAAGTGCATCTCGGAAGACGCGAAAGATTTGATCAGAGGATTGCTGGTCAAGGAAGCCCACCAGAGGCTCAGCGCCGAAAGTATTCTCAAACATCCATGGATCAATCCTGGCCCGAGCGCCGTCGAAAATACCGAGAAGTCACTCACAACTCCTCACATTATCAGGTTTGTTATTCGTGTAACAAAACGAATACGGCCAATTCGATTCATCAGCCAGTGAGAAAATTGTAAAAAAAAAAAAAACAAAAAAAAACAAAAAAAAAAAACAAAAATTGAATAACAAGAACTACGAAAGAATACATGTATTTCTGTTCGTAGGAGGAACAATTCTGCTAGAGAACTCTCGGCGTTCGCCGAATCGGCAATGGCTGTGAATCGCGTGGTACTTCAACACTTTTCGGTAAATTTGGAGGAATTGGCAGAGAAAAGGGAACCGAGGTTATCCACTTCGTCCACGGATGAAGATAACCATCCTTACGGGCACATGTCCGACTCGAGCAGCGAATTATCCGAGCACAGTAAGCTTTGCGTAACTCATTCCTCCAACGAATTCGATGCGAACTCGTGTTTGAAATCATGCTCGGACCATTCGAACACCGAGCCGATCGATTCGAAAACCATCGGGAAGAATCGGCTGATCGGCAAAGACTCGTCGCTTCATCGATTGTTCGGTTTGTCACCACCCAGCGAGAGTCGTCTGATGCAACGTCGTTTGAAGGCTCGTTCGGATCTGCTTGAACGTCAGACAAACAAAGCGGTTATCGCGTCCCCCAGTGGCTGAAATGTTGTTGTCAGGTTTACGAACGAAACGAACATGTCCTTTCTTGGTAGCGCGCGTATAATTTTTGGTATTTACACGTCTGCATATACGGATACGAGGAGAGCATTGCACAGTCGTGTTATTATCTGTCGATAATTGACAAACGACATCACGATTGGCTAAACGAAAGTTGCGTTTCATTAAAAATAATGACAGCTGCATTGCAGATGATTCGTGCGACAATTGATGGCCATTATATAGATGAGCATTCTTGACGGAGGGGAACGATATATAGTGTAAAATCGTGTACATAATCAACTACGCGCGACGCTAATAATGCACGACACTCGGTCAGACAATAATTCTTTGGCGAATTTCTATACCCCACAGAATTCAGAGAAATATCGTATCCAGTTATCTTTGTTTCTACTTTTTCTTTTCTTTTTTTTTTGACGTTTCGTTTCGTTTCGTTTCGTCAATCGAACAATTATTTCTCGCCTTCGCACGTTACAAAAATTTATAAAGTTACGCGTTACTCTTTCGGTTTATCTCTTTTTGAATGTTGCTTCACGATGCATTCGTTAAATAATATGAACGAACATGAGCAAAGACGGCACAAATTCGACTTACGTAATGTGTACAAACGAGAAATCGGACGATCGCACACGTATTATGGATTTTGTCGTAAATCACGGTTACTTTTATAATGGGAAAAATTTGCAGTGTGTATGTACATTCCACTGTCACTATTCATTAGATGAAAATGTACAGCATGAAAATATAAAACAATACAGACGACAGGTATGAAACGTCTCTGAACTCTTTTGCTATCGTAGTGTCTAGAAAAGTACATGTTATATGTATGCTCGTTCATATCGATTTATCGAAAAGTTAGGATGTACGGACAGACGTAAAAGAAAAGTAATAGTAACTGACTTTGCCGAATTTTCTTTAGTTTCTTTTGGCTTCGTTTGAAATATTTTGCAACATGGCTATGATTATAAAAAACAAAACAAAAAAAAAATATCTCCGAGTCTTTTTTTTCTTTCTCTTTTCTTTCTTGACGATAAGTTGTCCGAGAATGGTGAAAAACAAATATGAGCAACGCAACAGTGCATCTTCAAACAAAAAATAAAAAAAAAGAAAAAAAAGGAAAATACAAAAAAAAAGAAACGTTCATCAGTAAGAAGAGAAAAATCGCGCATCTTGGTGCATGTTACGAATAGTTTGCTCAGTAGGTTTCTAAGAGTGTAGTAGAGTGTAAGTTCGAAAATATCTCGAGGAAGATTTCCAAGAAAGGAACAACGCGCGTGTTTGTATCGAAAGGGATGAAAAAGAGGGGGGCGGGGCGACAACTACGGCCATTTTTTGTAAATGTCTCTTAAGCATCTTTGTAGAGAGTTAGCACGTAAGAAAGATTAAACAAAAAGAAAAAAAAAAGTTAGTTTAACAAAAAGATGGAAAAAAAGAAAAAAAATACAGAAAAAAAATGTACCTGCGTCGTAAGTGATTAAGAAAATATACCGAGTGTGACGGAGGGGGGCAAAAAGGAAAGAAGTGTACCATACGTGGGGAGGAGACATATGGTAGAGATTATGAGAGATAGAAAAAGGGCGAGAGGGGGAGAGTCGTATTCGGTAACGTGCAAATCACACGTTATCGGGCAAACTTTCTCGAAGAATCGCAGATTAAGAGAAAGAATCACATCCATTAATTACTGTTACGTATTTTTGTAGAGTTTTATCGACGAGATGTCGTTTTATCGTCTGCCCACCCTACAGTCGCGATTTACACGCTCGATCATCGTGCTTCATTTTGTTTCCAATGATTTTCATTGCCACAGAATGGTGAATAACCCACGTCACGTGCAAAAAAACATTCCGTTGTACATTGTTTTCGTCGTGCGTCGCGTCGAGTTTGCTTAAAGCATTTTTTTGTGCCTCCGAGCATCGTCTCGAATTACATCTCGACGGATGAAAATACGCGTGCACGTCCTTTCGGAGAAGTATCGCAAGGCAAAACAAAAATAAAGAACGAAGCAACGAAAAATTTCAAACGCGTGCTGTTACCACGATCTCCTCTACTGTTTTACGTTGCTTGAACGTCGTGTTGTACGGTGGGGGGACATTTTACTCAGGGCAGTTTACGACGAGCTGCGCAGATTTGTTACGAATTACATACACACTAACTCGCGTTTGAAGAGAAGAAAGAGCTTATATATGATGTCTATGCGCGATCGAAGTCCATCCAGGGTTGAAAACGAAATCGTTACTTGTTCTTTCTTCTTACGAATTAACCCTGAAAAAAAAACTTTGTCCAACGGCATTATAAAACACATTACATATACATACATACGTACGTACATACATGCATACATACATACATAGAGTAACAGCGGAGGTCGACGCATTATAGGTCGATAGCATTATTGAACTTTCCTCTCAAGGACGAAGGATCTTCCCGTACTCTTCTATCAACACAAATATCATTTTGCCATACCATATATATACATATATATATATATATATATATATATATATATATATATATATGTATATGTTCGTACATATATTTTTATTCGAATTGCACGGAGAACAGATGCCACAGACCAAAATGCGTTCGATCGATCGTTAATAAACGTGTGTTTTGGTTCAATAACCCCCATGTTAAATTCGTCCGATCAAACGTACCAAATTTCAACGGAGATACCTAGCGGCATCCTTGAGTGTGTTGGTACGTTTGTTGGTGGAAATAGTGTTATCGATTTCTCGTAGTAACAGGAACCGTGCGAGAACGCAATTGTCACGCGTCGCGTCATTACTGCACTGTGCTTACGACGTAGAGACGAAAAAAAGCATTACACATTAAGCATTACACACTCGCGACTCTTTAGTCGCGAAAACTATTAAGGAACACGATTATACCGCCATTCTTTCTTTCTTTCTTTCTTCTTTTTCTTCTTCTTCTTCTTCTTCCTGTGCTTTCTTAAAGCAACTCTCTCGCGAATTGAGAGATACGATGACACGACGGAAGAGGGGGAGGAATATGCGAGACACTAGGGGAACAAAAAACGATTGACTGAATATTGTATGTATATGTTTACCGTCTCTCCACTGGGTCATCGTGTCTTCCAACTCGTTTCTCAGCATTATTGCCATGCGTTATCGATAAACAGTTGGAACACACCCTTTTTTTTTTTTTTTTTTTTTTTTTTTTAAAAGTTTTTTTTTTTTTTTTTTTTGGTTTTTTTAACGATGCATTTTTATTACTCGTTTCGTTCGTTTAGTTGTAATAGCGTGTGGCATAACCAACCAATCAGAGCCTTGGTAATACGATACTATCGTAGAAATGGAGAAAAACTTGAATGCATTTTCAATCGATGTTCGTTTCTCGCACCGGTATGTTCTTTTTTGCAAAGCGTTTCTCATCGTTATCAGCTTCCTTCGAACGAAAAAGCGTGTCGTCGATATGAAGAGAAAAAGAAATAAATAAAAAAAACTGAAAAAAAAAAAGGACACGAGAAATGCGTTATATCGTCAGAGTACGTTGGTATAATAAATGCTTTCTCGAAGGAACATTCAGAATGCGAGAAGAGGGGGGGAGGAAGCGCGTATGGCAAAGGACGAGCAGCGACGAAGTGGCGATTCGGTTTCAGTTACCTTGGGGGGGGGGGGGGGAGAAAAGGAAACCGAATCGGAATAAAGAAGGAAAAATCCATGGCCATAATATATAATATATAGATCTATAAAGAAAACTGTAATGCTGCGTGCGTGGTACGAATGTATATATATTTGTATGTGTGCGTTGGCCTGCGTGTGCTGCGTATGTGTGCCCGTTGCAAGCTCTCGAATGAGGAGAAAAAAAAAAAAAAGAAAAAAAAACAATATCTAGCTTGTAAGCGAAGGGATAAAATAATAAAAAATCCTTTGTATAGATTTGTAAAATTAAGAGTTAAGGTACTGCTGCGTTATATACCGACGAGTCTTTCTTCGAACATTGTTGGAACAACTCGCATCTCATGATGATACTGTTTTCGATACTGTGCGTGTAGCTTGTTGTCCCGTTTCATTCGCAGAATGTCACGAATGCAATCGCGGATTTTTGAAAAAGCGTGTACTAGTCCGATGAAAAAAGAAGAAAAAAAAAAAAAAGAATGAAGATATGGCGTTACAGGGTTGACAAACTAATCCACGCCAATGATGGAACTTTCGATTTTTAACGGGGTCGTGTAATCGATACTACACCGGCGAAAATAAATACATTTTACAAATGGCAGACGCTCGACATATCCCAACGGTGTGCTATCGAACACCATTTATGCATGAGATGCGGAGCATCGTTTGCGAGTTTCTTCCGGGTGACACGAGCAAAAGACTTTTACTACTACGTATGTATTGCTTTTCGTGTTATCTACGTCGATTACGAAAAGAAATTAAGAGGAATTTCGCCATTCCGATTCGAGGAAACGCGCGCGAGTATCGTCCCCGGAAGAGGCAGCATTTTCATTGCGTTCATTTTTATTTTACGCGAAGAAAAGCAATATAAAAGAAAGAGAGAAAAAAAAAAAGAAAAAAAAACTCTTAAAAAGATAAATAAAAAATGTCGCCAATGCTTTTTCAACGAGACCTCACTTCCTCTATCGTTTCTTCTTTCTCTTTCTTTTTCCTCCTCGTTTGCTTTTTATTTCGGCTGTCATTTCATTTCATTTCATTTCATTTCATTTCATTTCATTTCATTTCATTTCATTTCATTTCATTTCATTTCATTTCATTT